TCAGACTGACGATTGAGAGCAGGAACAGATCGCCCCTTTTTCTGCTACAAGCCACACATACACTGCTAGAGAAAACTGTCCAGGCTTTCATGCTTACGAGAACTTCCCAAAGGTGGGAGAACCAGAAAACGGAATACTGGGCTCTAGGTAGCCTAGGCTTGGTAAATGACACCTCCTAGCATCTGCCACAGATTTCAACTTTGCACTAGTATCCAAATTGTTTCCCTTCAAGCAAGAGAGGACACCACCTCTTTGATGAGAATGACAGGTGTTTCCAAACAAATGTGACCAAACATTCAGTAACTTATCCTCCTGCTCAAACATCAACCGTCAGCCTTGCCAGCAGGAAAAGACTCAATTTCTGCAATAGTAAAGTATAAAATTCATTTCATACATCAGTCTAATCAAGGTCAAGACAGAACAAGCCCAACATAAGCAGAAAACCTCAAAACATTTCTAATTCTAGAGCGACACTCAGTGCACTAAACCCCTGCCGTCTCCGCACGCCTCCAAGGTGGCAGCCCCTCTCGCTTCTCCCCCGGCTGTGGCGTGGCCCCCAGCCACCTGCTGTGTAAAACGTAGTTCACACCCGAGCCTCCTTACCGCCTTGACGTTTCCACGTTCCGTATTCTGTAAATTTAAACTCCTGCTTGTCGTCCTCCTGACATTTGCTCCTGGTGTGAACTATCCTTTAAAACTAGGTTCATTTCAGTCATAAATGCTTGTATTTTTCTCTCCTCAATGGCAGAATGTAATTCACATACATTTTAAACTTTTTAGGAGGGAAAAAAAAGCCTCTCAGGTGTCACCAACCAGGCTTACAGCAGGGCTGCAATCAGTAACAACTGCCACCACCTGCTTCTAATCAGTGGGGCCCACAGCACACGGTGTGTCCCGGGTTGCACAATGGAGAAAATAAAGAACAAGGGATTAATGCTCTTAATATAAATTTAAAGTCTGCTAGAATTAGTTTACAAGTAAAGTATTGGCCTTTCAAAAATCTAGGAACAGTGCTTAATTACTAAACTTCGATTGTGTAATTTTCCTAAAAGCCAACATCAGAGTTTACTGAACTGATTTTTAAAAGCAGCGCAGACGCCGGAGCTCCGATAGCCGACACAAGCCCTGGTGAGCGGCTGCCTCTCCGCTCCCGGCAGTGCCCGGAAGCAGGCCGGCCAGCGGCCCCGGGGACCCGGTATGATGGCTGTCAAACGCGCTGCGGGTGTCTTCATGCAGCAAAATAATGGTGCTGCTGTTCACTCCCTCTTGTTAATCTCCAAACTTATTTAAACATTAGGGCAAAAGACAACCATTTTTATGTTATGTACGTTTTATCTCAATAAAGCTTTTAAAAGTAAACAGATAACCATTTATATAAGCACTTTACACTGGACCATTTTATCCAGTGTCAGCTGACCACTCAGCAAAATAAACTCAGAAGCTGCCTAAGATGAAAAGGCAAATTCAAAGGTGTTGACCACACAGGTGCCTGCATCCCCGAGCCATTTAAGTCACACCTGGAACATCTGAGAGAAGACCTGAGAGCCTATATCCAGACCAGGACAAAACTTTAAATAGCAAATGACTCATGAAAATGAAGGCTCAAGTTTTAAAATTAGGTGAAGCACACAAAGCAAGTTTAAAAAAAAAAAAAAAAAAAAAAAAAAAAAGAAGCTGGCCCAAGGAAATAGTGAAGAGCCCTGGCCGGCGCGGCTCAGTGGACTGAGCGCCGGCCTGCAAACTGAAAGGTCGCTGGTTCAATTCCCCGGCAGGGCACACACTTGGGTTGCAGGCCAGGTTCCAAGTCGGGGGCGTGAGAGAGGCAGCCAATTGATGTTCCTCTCCCTCTCTTTCTCCCCTCCTTCCCCTCTCTCTGAAAATAAATAAAACTTAGAAAAAAAGGGGGGGGGTAGGGGGAAATGACAGACAGTAAATACAGCAAAATATGACTCTGTGATTCTAGGGTGACATGTAAATCAACAGATTTGAAAGGAAACTTGCTTAAATAGATATGGTCTTATCCCACTAGCATCTCTAAATCAAAAATCAGAACATCAAGGACTTAAGGGTAAAAACAGTTTCAAATGCATGACCTTCAAATGGAAAGCACAAGATGACCCTTAAGGACAGCGGTAGCAACACGTGGTGAAATGCGCTCCGAGAAACCAGGAGCAGTGCTCGCTCACCCACACTGCGCGCCTTCCCCACGTGCCCCGCCTTCTCCAAGCTAGAAAGCGCTCAGGCTGCTCTGCACACTGGGCCCTGCGGCCACATGGTAGGACCCTCTTGAGCCTGCAGCTCTGGCCCCCAGCTGTCCACCCCGAGGAAGCTGCCCCCTCCTTCCTGCATCAGAGCCGGCAGCCCTAATGACCACTCGACCCTGTTTCTGATATCTTTCTCCCTGAACCTCTCAGAAGGAAAGTTAAATAGAACCTCAGAAAAAGCATCAGTCTTTTTTCTGACTCAGACTCCCTGGAGAAGGTGGGACGAGGAGAGAGGAACCATTAAGTTGTTCCTTTATGGAGGCCTCTTGCTTCCACAGGCAGCCACCGAAGGGTCGCCTGTTATCACTCCATGTCTGCAAGAAGACCGAGGCCCAGGGGTAGCCCTCCAACTCCCAAGGTGTCCAGGACAATGCTAACTTCTTCACACAACTTCCTCCTCAAAGTCAGACACTGGGTGTCCCCTGGACCCAGGTGACAGTCCCCAGGGAAGACTACTGCCCACTACCTCATAAATCGCAAGGCTGTGTGGGAGGGTAGGGGCAATGGTACTGGTATCTTAGAAGAAAGCAGTTTCCGCTTCAGATTTCTGGTTCATGACCCTGACCTCTCCTGCTAAGGTCACAGTCAAGGTCACTGCTGCCCCACCTCCTACTGGGAGCCTGAGTAACTAAGGGAGACAGGAAAGGGAAATGGAAAGTATACAGATTGGGAAGAAAGAAAGAAAACTGACGTTTTGGAAGGTGACATGATTGAACAAAATCCAAAAGGAAAAAAATTTTTTAAAAAAACACCTCCTGAAACTATCAAGCAATTATAACAGGGTTGCAGGATACTATGTTAATTCACAATCTTTCATACATACCAGCAACAAACAAGTGGAAAAATTAAAAACAGTATCATTCATATTAGCACACATAAAAAAGAAATACTTGGGTATAAATCTAACAGAGTATGTACAAGATCTACGTGAGAAAAACTATAAAACTCTGATGAAAAAAATCAAAGAACCAAGGAAATACGGATACATGCTCCATGTCTGTGGACAGGAGAACTCAGTAAGCCAAGACGTCAGATCTGCTGAACTCGATCTATAGATTAATGCAATCCCAATAAAAATCTGAGTAAGTTATTTTGTGGACATCAACAAACTGATTACAAAGTTTTTTTATGGGGAGGCAAAAAACAGAATAGCCAACACAACATTGAAAGAGAAGGACAGAGTTGGTGAAACAGCGATCAAGTCAGCGAAGTACTGGAGGAGGACAAGTAGATCAATGGGACAGAGCCCAGAAAAGACCCACATGAATAGTCAACTGATCTTTGACAAAGGAGCACAGGCAAGACAATGGAAAAAGTCTTTCCATTAAACAGCGCTGTAAGAAATGGCCCTCTACAGGCAAAAAAAATGAACCTAGACACAGACGTCACACTCTTCACGAAAATCAACTCAAAATGGATCACACACATATATGTAAAATGCAAAATTATAGAACTCCTAGAAAATAACATAGGAGAAAACCTAAGGAGATGATCTTGGGTCTGACAATTACTTTTTAGATGCAACCTCAAAGAACGAGCCATTAAAAAAAAATTTGATAAGCTGGGCTTCCTTGAAATAAAAATTTGCTCTGCAAAAGACATTGTGAAGAGAATAAGAAAACAAGCCACAGACTAGGAAAAATATTTGCAAATGATATATCAGATAAAGAACTGTAAGCAAAAATATTCAAAGAACTCTTTAAAACCTAATAAAAGCATAAGTAACTCAATTTAAAAAGGGGCAATAGCTTTGACAGACACCTCATCCAAGACATACAGATGGAAATAAACATATCATATGTCATCAGGGAAATGCAAATTAAAACAAAAATGAGAGAGCCTTTCACTTAAAAGCAGCTCCCTGAAGCGGGGGAGGAGCCCAAGAGGGACTGTGAGAGAGGCCCCTTTCTGTTAGCCTGGCAGCAGCCACCAGGAGGGTCTCAGTTAAAGCGATTTTCAGAAGGCACTTTTATCAGCAGTAGGCTGATAAAAATCAACACCGAAATTCCTTTCTAATAAAATCTTAAACCACGCATTTTCATTATGTTCAGAAGTGCACAGCTAAAGGAATAAGCGCTTTAATTTCTTAGTTAAATAAATAACAACTACCACTACACACATATCAAAATGATCAAACTCCGAAACGCTGACGTCAACTGCCCGTGAGGATGTGGAGCAACAGAAAGCGCCCTCCGTCGGCGGTGGGAGTGCAACACGGCGCAGTGTCGCCCACCCAGGCTGCCCGGCGGTCTTCACAAAACTAAGCGCCTCTCACCGCCCAATCCAGCCCCAGTGCTCCCCGGTATTCACTCAAAGGAGTCAAAAACATGTCCACACAGAAACCTACACAAAATGTTTATAGGAGCTTTAGTCACAACTGCAAAAACTTTAATTAAGCCAAAACAGTACCTGCTGAGGCAGCACATACCCATATTTTGCCGTGTATAGTGCGCACTTTTCTGCCCAAAGTTTTGAGAGAAAAATAAGGATGAGCATTATACATGGGTAGTACAAATTCTGTATCTATATAAATGTTTTTAATTCTTTTATTTATGCTTATTACACGTTAAAAGTTTAAGTCTAGAAAGCAATATCCATATGCAAAAAAATACCCTGGAATACGACAATCTGTTTCGTTTATAAATATAAATAAAAACTTGAATTAAATTAAAACAAAAGATTTTTTTCCTGAATACTTGGGCCAAAAACATAGGTGCACATTATACACAGGAGCGCATTATACACAGCAAAATACAGTACTAAAATTGGAATGATACAGAGAAGATTAACGTGACCCCTGAGCAAGGGTGACATGCAGAACTCTTGTCCAAGACAATAGGGCAGGAAATCCCTGAACTCACCTACTCCCGCAACACATGGAATCCGCACCTATGGACAGCGCAATTTCCCCTGAAAAGCCAAGGGCTGACTTAACAGCTACTGAGCAAGGGTCAAAGTGTGAGGTCCATTGTGCTAGTCTTCACGGTAGCAACAGAAGCTAGACTTTGTTTTAAAGAGTAAGAAATAGCACTGGTGTGGCTCAGTGGCCTGAGCTCTGGCCTGTGAACCAAAGGGTCACCAGTTCGATTCCCAGTCAGGGCACAGGCCTGGGTTGTGGGCCAGGTCCCAGTAGGGGGCACGTGAGAGGCAACCACACACTGATGTTTCTCTCCCCCTTTCTCCTTCCCCTCCCTTGTCTAAAAATAAATAAATAAAATATTTTTTTAAAAACTGATTTAAAATAAAGAGTAAAAAATAGGGATGATATCATCTGGGGGACTTGCCACCAGCATGGTTTGCAAGCAGTGCCGTCACCCCAGCGGCAGAGCCACGCCACAGCTGTGGGAGCTTCCACACCTAGGCCAGGCCTAGGGGTGTCTGCAGCCACATCACACTTAGGCTTTCTTTATTAACTATTTAATAATGCCATACATTTTTATAAGGTTAGGTTGTTTATTTGAAAGCATGTTTACATTCCATATTCCAATAAAACCATATTGGTATTGACAGCAGGTCCTAGCTCTAAATGTAGGTTCTATTTTTGTCATTTGGTTAGTGGGAACTTAAAATACAAATAAAATTCTTATTACAGAGTTGAGCTTACAGATTGAAAAGTAAAAATAAGATCCCAGAGCCAGGAAATGCATTCACTTAAGGTTCTCATGCCAACATTGCCTGCCTACACTGCACGTTCTGTATGTTAACGTATGCATTTGTTCTACCTGAAAATTAAAGACAAGACAGAGACCACACAGAAGTGGGCAAGAGAGACAGAGGCGTGGCTCAGTGGGAGCTGCGCCTCCAGCGCACAGGCCCACAGTCCGGAGGCTCACGGGGGGGCCCGGGCACACCTAGGCTACGGCGCAAGGAGATCAACTTATCCTAGAGCACGTGCCACACAGGACAGGAATGGCGGGAACTATCTCCAATGTTGCAGGCACCCGAGCGCACCGTGTGTTCTGTTCCCCCTACCCCTTCATCACATGGCCAGAAGCGTGACACAGGCATTCTAGCCAGCTGGCACCCCGGTGTGCCCTGGGCCCCATGCAGCCAACTGCAGCGTGCACCAGCAGGCCTGCCAAGGGGTCTCGCTGAGGCGTGCCCCTGGGGACTCCCTACAGCCAGACTCACTCGGGCTCCTAATGGCCCGCCAAAGCAGCCTCTGTGCATCTTCCCCCAGGCCTCCCCGTGGTCCACACCCACTCCGGCTCCAGCTGGCCTGCCAAAGACACCCCGCACATGCAGTCTACAAAAAGGAACCTCCTATCGAAGGCCACTCCTTCAAGACCAAGAGAGGCTGCTGTTCCACCTAATTCATAGAAATGTGCAGAGACAACCAAAATGAGAAGAGAGAGAACTATGTCTCAAGCAAAAATCTCCAGAAAAAAGAACTAAATGAAATGGAAACAAGCCATTTTCCAGATAAAAAGTTCAAAATATTGGTTATAAAAATGCTCAATGGACTTGGGAGAATAAAGGAACTTCAATAAAGAGACAGAAAACGTTTTTTAAAAATCGGAACTTCAGATTACAATCACTGAAATGAAAAATACACTAGAGAGAATAACATATTGGATGATGCAGAAGAGCAAGTCAGCAAGCAGGAAGACAAAGTAGTGGAAATCACCCAACTGGAACAGAGCAAAAAGAAATTTTAGAAATGAGGACAGTTTAAGGGACCTCTGGGATAATATCCAACGTGCCAACATCCAAACCACAGGGGTCCCTGAAGGAGAAGAGAAAGGAACGGAAACCTATTAAAAGACACAATGGCTGAACACTTCCCTAACCTGAGGAAGCAAAGACAGTCCCAAAAAAGATGAACCCAGAGAGTCCCACCATAATTAATATGCCAAAAGTTAAAGACAGAATCCTAAAAGCAGTAAGAAATAAAGCAGCTAATCACATACAAGGATCCCACATTAGGCTGTCAGATGATTTCTCTCAGCAAACACTGTGCACGCCAGAAGTGAGGAAGTGGAGAAAACCCGCAACCGAGAATACTCTGCTCTGACTCAGCCATCAAAGGGGCTTGTCACCACTGAACCTGCACTACCAGAAATGTTCAAGGGACTGCTTTATGCAGAAAAGGCCCAAACTGAAATAAATAAATAAATAAATAGCTCTGCATATATATATGAAAGAGGAGATCTCACTGATAAAGGCACACATACAGTAAATATGGATCAACCAATTATAAAGCCAGTATAAAGGTTAAAAGACAAATGTAGCCAGAGCGTGTGTAACTACAGTAATAAATTAAGGGACACACACACACAGATATAAAATATGTCAAAAACGTAAACGTGGAAGGAGTGACTAAAACCTAGTGTGCTTTCAGAATATGTTCTAACTGAAGCAAAACCCAACACAGACTGCTATAAGCAGAGCTTGTTATATACGAATCTCATGGTAACAACAAACCAAAGACCTGCAACAGAGACACAAAATGTTTAAAAACAAATCACTAAGAAAGGCATCAAATGTACAAGAAAGGAGAGCAAGAGAAAAAAGGAACAGAAAGGACTACAAAAACACCCACAGAACAGTTAATAAAATGGCAATAATTACATACCTATCCTCAATTACTTTAAATATAAATGTACTGAACAATCAATCGATCACAGACATAGGGTGGCCAAATGGGTAAAAACAAGGCCCACGCAAGTGCTGCCTACAAGGTACTCACTTCAGACCCAAAGAGACACCATCTGAAAGCAAGGAGATGAAAAAAGATATTTCGTGCAAATGGTACCAAAAAGACAGGTGGGGTAGCGATCTGAGACAAAACAAACAAAGACTATCTATAACAAGAGCTAGAGGCCTACCTCAAGAAACAAGAAAGCAATCTAACCTTATACCTGAAGGAACTAGGAAAAGAAGAACAAACGAAGCCCAAAGTGAGTAGAGGAAGGAAATAATAAAGATCAGAGCAGAAATAAAAGAAATAGAAACTAAAAAATAAAAATAAAGATCAATGAAACTAAGAAGTTTTTTTTCATCTAAACAAACCTTTCACCAGTTTCATCAATGGCATTTTTCACAGAACAAATAATCCCAAAATTTACATGAAAACCCAAAAGACTCTGATAGCCAAAGCAAACAGAACAAAGCTGGAAACGTCATGCTTCCTGATGTGAAACTCTACTAAGAAGTGACAGGAATGAAAGAAGTGTGGCATTGGCACAGAAGAAACACACAGATCAATGGAACAAACTATAGAGTCCAGAAATATACCCACATTCATATGGTCAATTAATCTACAACAAAGGAGGTAAGAACACACAATGAGGACAGGACAGTCTCCTTAACAAGTGATACTGGGAAAACTGAACAGACACATGCCAAAGCATGACACTGGACCACTTTTTTATAGCATATACAAAAATAAATACAAAATGGATTAAAACCCTAAATGTAAGGCCTGAAACCACTGAATTCCTAGAAGAAAATATATTCAGTAGACTTTATAACACTGGTCGTGGCAAGGTTTTTTGGATATGTTTTCTCAGGCAAAGGTCACAAAAGCAAAAACAAACAAATGGGACATCAAACTTTAAAGCTTTTGCACAGTGAAGAAACCTTCAACAAGACACAAAGGCAACCTTTTGAATTGAAGAAGGTATTTGCAGCAAATGATGTATTTTAATATCTAAAATATACAAAGAACTCATACAACTCAACATCAAAAAATAACCCCATTAAAAAACAGGAAGAGGGCCTGAATAGACATTTTGCCAATTAACACATATAGGCAGCCAAGAGACATTAAAAGATACTCCACATCACTAATAAGGGAAACGCAAATCAAAACCACAATGAGGTACTACCTCATACCTGTCAGAATGGGTCTTTTCAAAGAGAGAACAGATAGCAAGTGCTGTCAAGGATGTACAGAAAAGGAAACCCTCATACACTGTTGATGGGAGTGTAAATTGATGCAGTCACTATGAAAAACAGGATGGAAATTTCTCAAAAATTAAAGACAGAGCTGCCATACGACTGAGCAATACCACTTCCGGGTACTTATCTAAAGAAAACAAAACCACCGATTCAAAAAGATGCCTGCACCCCCACGTTCACTGCAGCGTTATTTATAATAGCCAAGATACGGAAACAACCTGAATGTATGCCTCTCAAGGAATGGATAAAGGAGATGTGGTGCAGGTATAAAATGAAGTATTATTCAACCATAAAAAAGAATGAAATCTTGCCATGCAACAACACAGATGGACCTACAGAGCATTATGTTAAGTGAAATAAGCTGGACAAAGAGAGACTAATATCATGATTTCACGTACATATAAAATCTAAAAACCAAAACAGAAACAAACTCACAGATACAGAGAACTGGTGGCTGCCAGAGGGGAAGAGGGTGGAATGATGGGCAGAAGAAGGGAAAGGGATTAAGAAATACCAATTTCTAGTTATAAAATAAGTCATGAGATATAATGCACAGCATAGGGAATAAAGTCGATATTATAATATGTATAGTGACAGATGACTCTGAGACTTATGGTGACCGCTTGGTAAGGCATATAAACGTTGAATTACTATGCTGTACACCTGAAACTAATATAATACTGTATGTCAGCTATAATTAAGATGCTCTTCAGTAGGTGAAAGGATAAACAAACTGTGGTTCATCCAGACAATGGAATATTATTCAGCACTAAAATGAAATGAACTATCAAGTCATGAAGAGACATGGAACAAACATAAATACAGAGTAATAAATGAAAGAAGCCAATCTAAAAAGGCGACATACTGTAAAATTCCAAATAGATGATATTTGGAAAATATCAAAAGGGAAAAGGCAAAACTGCAGAAACAGTAAA